CTCCACTGACACGAAGGGGGACAGTAAGTAAAGAAGCTTAGACTAGATCAGTTACCTTAAAACTGAGATTGGTATGGATTGGGAGAAAATACACGTATCACAGAGATGTTTTACTGTTTTACTATTTTAACTATACGTTGCACTTTTCACAATGAATAGAACAGTCTACAGTTATGTAGGCAATTATACAGTGACACATGGACGACATGAGAAATAAAGGCTGGCACAGGAGGACTACCAAAACATCAGACAAGGAAACAAAAAGACAGAACTAGGAATCCATAAATAAGTGGTGAATCCAGTTAAAACAATGTACCATAGGGTAACGGAATTACATGATGTGGCTTATTCATCAACCATAGCAGACGCTGATTAAAACTTCCAACAGATGAGTGTATTATGTTAAGACACATAACTTGGTTGAGCAAAAGGTTGAAATGCCCGAGCGTGACCTACTGAACAAGTCGAGCGAAGTTTCCTTATGACTGGTAAAAGTTCGAAACTTGGCACATCTGGCCTTATTAAAAGATCTTTTCTCCAATTTTGGACTGGAAATCCCGACAGACTTCATTTACAGTCGCCATTTGGGATTTTGACTTGGCAGACGATAAGCACTAAACACTTACGTCATGCTTTAGCTGATTTTAAAAGCATCACTCTATCAGCATGCTCGTCAACAGCTTAATATACTTTCTACAAACTGTACAAAGGGGAATAACTCTTAACAGAAAACTCAGCCTCTGTGACCAGTTTTTCTACAGTACACAGAGTCCCTGTCCGTTCTGGGCTATGGTGTTGCTGGGTCCAATTAATAGAGCTGTCAATCACCATCGCCTGTGTGACCATCATCATGTGTACTTGTGTTTTGTGTGCTGTGTCCAAATAACAGATCTGTCAATCAACATTGCCTGAAGATCATCAGTGTGTGAACTGGTGTTTAGAACTCTTTGTCCAAATAACAGAGATGTTATTTACCGCTACTTCTAGTGCAAAGGGGATGGGGAGGCGGAGGGAAGGTGGAAACACTAAACATCTCTCTATCAATGCTGACCATTCAGAAATAACTAGACCCTATGGTAAGGTTGGTCCAAAAAGATAAGCGAAGGGAAGCGAAGGGAAACGTATAAAAGCGACCGTCAATCCGAGAATATATCTTAGATCATTTTCTTGATGGAAATCCCGTGTTTTATTCTTGATCAAATCTAGTTTGTATTTGATTTTGTATTTTGATTAAACACCAACATGATAACTTCATAGGAGTGAAATAGAGACGAAATATGTTGAGATATTACGAATATTTAGTAAGGTACATTAGATTTTATTATCGTCCGTCTTTTTTAATCAATGAACAAATGAAAGGCTATGCGTTAAAACTATCCTGTGTCTATATGTATAATTTTATCTTTTATACATTACTAAAGAGGTTTCTACGTCGCAAATACTGTCAAAGGTAAGCAACACTTGTCATTCGATATAAATTGTGTTTAAGTAACAATTATATCCAGTCACGTCATGGGTGCGATACTCAAGAAACTCAACATTCTGCCAAAATAAATTTCGATGGAATGTTCTGAAAGCCATCCTTTTGTATGTTATGCAGTTTTGTATGTAGAGGGGTCGCAATGAAGAAGATTCGAAATACACGTTCGCTCTCTTTGCTAAATTTGATGTGTTTCCTAGTAACGTTCCCATTAGAGGTCCGAATTATTTTATTTAATAACAAAATCAATAAGTATGAAATAGATAAGATGAAAAACAAGGTCATTTCCCCCCTTACGTTGCAATTCATCATCTGTAATATTTCTTGCTTAAAACGCTATTACTTTTTTCACTTATATTTTGGTAGGTTAACAATTTTATCTACAATAAATACCGAAACGCCATGATTACCGAATTTGTAACCGTGTCTACCAATATAGATCACATTATTTTCACTAGAACTTACTTTTGCGTTTTATTGGTGCGAATTAGACTTAACTAACAAAACTCGCCATTTTTTTAAGACCAATAATCTTGCGAATTAACGCGTAATATGTGCTTCTAAAATTCAATTGATTTACACTTGATTAACACTTACTTTCTTGGATATGATGTGCGTTATCACAACTGTTACCTTCGGTGTTTTAGGACGCTTACCCTACGTTGTTTTTGTGAGGGTTCGTGACATCGTTCCATTTGTTTTGATATGTCACCCTGGTAAGATACAAGCCGCTGCCTACCGACTCGGCTAGGGAGAACTTCTCTTTGGGGTCAGAATAGTAAACTATAGGTCTCGGGTTCTACTCCTAGCGAAGACATTAAAAAAAATAATGACCTCTGTTTCATTGGCACCCAACGTGGGGCCCAGGAGATTTGGCAAAAATACTCAGCGAAAATTGCAAAGGAATCGCTCAGACCCCTGGAAAACTCGGGATAAGTTCTTTCCTGCAGGGGGAATATTTTACCCTGGTAAAATACTAGTGGATGCCTACCGACTCGGCTAGGGAAAATTTTTCTTTAGCGCATTCGGTAGATCGTAAGACTAGGAAGCCAGAGGTCCCGGGTTCGACTCCTAGCGGAGGCATTGGAAAAAAATCACTTCAGATATCTGCTCAGTTACTGTCACTGGCTGTTGTCCTTGTGTGCTAACGGCTTTGTATTTTGTCTTTTAAAGCATCGGGCAAAGTACATTGCCAGAGGTGTATGAAATGCAGATCAAAATGTGATATTTACATCAAAAAGTTTGAACTAGGCAACATAGACACTATTTAAGAAATACTGAAAGTCCTTGTAAATATCTCAGAAAGAGAAAAAGAGATTCTGAGCAGATCTCATGAGCTTTCAAATCTTCAGAGGAATCGTGACGATGTGTGTGGGTGTGTGTTTTTTAGGGGTTGTTAGGGTGAATGTGTATATGAGTATGTGTTTTTGTGTTTGTGTAACTATCACGATTTATATTTTTCGCTTTTTCGCACAATAGAGGGCGTGCCTTGGTATATGCCGAATGACACATAATCTTGTTCTATCTCCTACATACACCTACGCACAACACGACTTTATCACTAAGATAATATCATGATTCATAGTCGGCTGTGCTAGGGTCTTTATTCTTACGTATACAATCTTATATTTCCAGTGTAAAAGAAGGTGTTAAAATACAAAGACTGAATATACACGTAATACATTGTATAATGATTCAATCATAGGCCACTTTAAGAAAATATCGTGTCCCACATTTTTCACGGAAAATGTAGTATTCTTGGAATTAACGCTCCACTGACCACGGTCGTCCTCACCTTGCTACTACATGTGTCTATATAGAAGTTATGTAGTAGATACAGCCCTTTATGCAATTATATAAGGCTTTCATTAGACATTGTCCATGTGTCAGCCTAACTAAAGTGTTGTAATCTAATGAGCTGAAATGAAAATCGGTGCTCATTTCTTAAGATTGTACAATGATATCACGCTAATATTGTGCACAATCGTATAATAAAACAATCTTTCGCCTCGTTGTGCGCTTATGTCCATCAAATGTACGATTTGGTTGATCAATATTTTGAAAAGAAAACTAATCCGGAAGACTCGTATGAAAGAAGGTGTTTTTAGTATATTAATTACTTGTCAGTAAATTTTGCATTTATATTTAGTTTTTACAACACGTGCTACACACTATTGCAGTGAGTATTAAGGCCAGAATATTTGGCCTGATTCCCAGGAAACAGATTTAATTATGTTGTCAATATATTGAGAATGGAATAGTGCCTTTTTCGTTTAATGAAAGGAACGTCAGGTTGCACATTTGTGTGATGATAAACCATTTTATAAAACATTATAAGTTTCCATGAATTCATTCATTCGTATTGCTTGCTAGTGTTTCGACATCGTTTGACACTATTTTAAGTAAGCATCAGGGTTAATACTGTCCCCATGTTTCAAATACATATGTCAAAAATGTGGTTTTCTTTACTTCGGCCATTATATATTTTTGTAACTTAATGCATCACAGCAAATAGTGGTATTACTAGGTTCATATACCGCCTACACACGGTAACGTACTGTACATCACGTGGTCACGGGACCTGTAAGGAGGCTGCATTAAACCCTTTTGGTAAAAGTCGCCAATCGCACCATTTTATCTATTATTAAAATGCTTTCTGTTTGGATTCGCTGATACACAACCCTCAAAACAAAACAAAACAAAAGTGATGGGCACTGCCTTTTATTTGGTGTCTAAATGAGGAAATATGCATTTTGGATAGTACCATGATAGCATAAGAAATGTGGAAAACAAAATAATGATAGTACCTGTTACCTAAAGTAGCCTTGTTGCATTGCAGACAGTTCATTTCCTTTCATCAAATTTTATTGACAAGATGACATAGTCAAATGGACAGAATAACAGGCAAAGCCTATATAAATTATCTCCGTCAAATGGCCAAAGTGGAATAAACAATGATACATAATATTTTAGACATGTTGGAAATGAAAAAAAATAACACAAAATAATTCATATTAACACAAGGCTAAGGGGGAGTAACTCATGAAGGAAACATCTCACATACCTCATACACATTTACACACACATACAAGTACATATACAAATACATTTATTTCAGCATATATATACACTATCACTGTTACAATTCAAAATAACAAATTCAATCAATACATATAGTGTAATTAATTACAACGACAAGATAAGTACATGCAATAGCCAGTAGTCATGCTCAACTAGAATCTCATGGATGTAATATATAATAATAAAAAAAAAAAAAACATGTACATATAAGAATTAAAACGACGGGATTTTCCAATAAAAATATGCACATCGTCAAGTACTCGTCTATTTGTAAGCCCATCACAAGCAGGACAGCTCTGGAGAAGAATGTTTATATCAATGTGATTGTGGTTGCCATAACTATTGAGAGAAGTTAACAAGTTAGTTCTTTGATTATTAAAAATAGGACATTCTAAAAAGTAACGAGATACTGTTTCATGTTCAGCAGAGCAGGTACAAGCTGGACTATTAGTAAGATGGTCATGGTGTATATCAGAATTTAAATTACTACAAGAGTTTCGAAGTTGACATGGAATAATATTTGCTCTTCTGTTACCTTCTGTTTTGAAAATTGATACAGATTCACTATCAGAAACAATATCTTTATTCAAATAATTTTTTAATGCTGCAGGAGAGGGAGGATTAAGAAGATCGATATTTGCAGTGTTAATTATGCGGCACATTTGAGGGAAAAAACTGTCGAAATAGTTATTAGTTCTACATAACACTGCAGCCAGTTGTTTGATTGGTTTAACTATAGCATCACGAAATTATCACACGATCAAGCCTCTAAATATATCACGTTATAACAAAGTTAGATAAAAAGGAAATAATATCATTTCATTTGACACCTTAACCTTGACCGGTTAATATTTTTACCTCCTGTGACAATTCTACTTTGAATCCCGCTGTGTATATTCAAGAAATATGTTTTGTGTTTTTTTTAATTTCATCTGCCTTATCGTGAATTAAATGCTTACCTTAAGAGTAAACACAGACATCACCTTGCAACTGATAATGATGGGTGATGATATTTTTATGAAAAGTGAAATATTTTATGATATGACTATTGTACATAAAGTTATATAACTTACTATGAACTATCCTTTTTAATTTCATTTGAGCGATGGTTCAAGTTCTTTATTACCTTGGGTCTTTTGACCAATCGGTTTCGAAAGTGAGATATATCTACAATATCTACAGACAATACAATACAATACATGCAATACATACAATACAATACCAGCAATGTACAAACAGTATGGAGGGTGTAACAAATTAAGTTAATTGGTTTCTTCTTACATTTGCCGCTATTACATATTTGGCCAAATTGACAAGCTCTTTTGTAAATGTTTATCTTTAAAACAAAGACACCCACTTTTAACTGATAACTATTTGTAATGATAATTTAAGACAAGTAAAATATATAATATGAGAATTTCATTGAACATTGAGTATAATAAATAATAAGGAGTTATCGAATTTCATCTCATTTGGTTTATTGTGTTTCAATTGTCATATTTATGGAATATTGTTGCATGATGTACATAATGTGATAAGCCGAGTTCGACTGGGCATCACATTTTAACGTTCTCTTATATTTAAAATGTCATTATCTAAACTGTGATATGGTATTATGTAAATGATGCATGACACTGAAATAAACTATTGGTTTAAACTTTGTTTTATTCAAATTTTGATTGACAATGCATCGAAATACAAATGGTACAATTTAAAGAACAGAAAAGGAAACAAAAACAACTGTCAAAATAAACGATTGATTGGTTGGTGTTCAAAGGAAACCATTAAATGTCTTTATACATTTGTACATTTTACATGAAAATAAAGTGACCGGAGACTAACAACAAATACCCTCATCCTTACTTCCCCATCCTTCCTTCTTTGCCCCTTTAACATTCACAAATGACCCCCAAAATATCACCGGCTTATAAGTAATCAATGCGTCCATGCTATGTTGTTAATACAGATGAAATATGTCGAGGGATTATGAGATATCTTGTACAAAATCTTTGAAGTAAAAGTGGGAAATGTCATATTTTACCTTTGATGCATGCACGGACAAACTAACAACGTAATTACCATACACCCCTTTAATTTTAGGGAGTATGATTGATCATTTCTCATCGGCTGTTTAGATGATCACAAATAATTTTTGAAGTGGTATAACTATTCGAGAGAAATTATCATGTACCTGAAATACATTGCGATGTTGTTTGTTTCTATTAGTCTGGCGAATTGTTATGTTTGGTGTTCGTTTGTGAACCAGCAGCAACAGAGTCATTTGTATCGTACATGGAATCGGCTATCACATTCGTATCACCTTTCTTTCGGAAAACATCGTATGTGTTCGACAATTCATGAGAACAGTCGTACATGTTATCTCCGCCTGTGGTATCGCCTTTACCCTTAAAAACGTCATATGTATCTGATGAGGCGGCGATTTTAACGTGACTGTATTCGTCATCCTGTGTATCTACACCATTAAAATTCCCGCTATTTCGATGGTCTAAATTATTATATACACCATCTATCACCTGCCCTGTGTACATTTCGTCAACGACGCCATTGTGACGCATGTTTTCAAAATTGTCATAACTACCGTCATCGGTTTTAACAACAGGAGAATACGTATCCTTGCTAGGAAGTGTAGCCTTTTTACGACTATGTGATTTTTCCTCTCTGGCACATTCCTCGTTAAAACCGCCATTTTCATAACATCTGTCTTCAGACATGAGTGGTCCTCTGCTTGCAGACCCTGCAAATGGAGAAACTGTGGTAAATCATACTATAATAAATGGACGAAGTAGTATTATACGCCCGCTACATTAGGGTTTAATATAAATGTCAAAATTGGGACATAACGTTTAATCGATATAATAGTATCATTTGTTTGGTACATTTCTGTTTTACCATTAGTGAAAACTGGAAGTGCACTCAGGTGTATTGAGCATATCAATAGAAACATCGTATTATCTTGTTTGACGTTTCGGTAACTCAATAAAGAATGATTTTTTTTGTGCTTAATTAATTATCTTATCTAAAATGAATAAATTAATCAACTAATAATGTTAAACATCAATTGTAATTCAAATGAAAAAAAATGTAAATGTTGCATGATACTCAAACAAAAGTGGAGTTAAGCATCGAGAAAAAGATGACTGAAAACTTGAGCAAGTGGTTCATTAATTTCCGCTTACTCTTATTTACAAAACATGGAGTCAATGTTACTAACCAATTATTTCTGGTTGTTGAAGCTCATATGTCCGATTGTCCGCGTATGATCTCTCGCTTGTCGACCTGGTTTTCCTTGGACAAGAGGTAGGACAGATCATTATTTAAATCAAAGCTTTAAACGTGTTCATGATTCCCGATAAAAATAAAACGTCTGCATATTGAAGTTAAAGAGACCAAAAAAAGTAATTCAGATAATGATTGTTAAGGTATTATAAGGCACCAGTCCATATGGATATATTTCATTATTAATGCTTATATTTAAATTTCTTTTAATGGCTAAAGCGTTTATATATTTTGATTAGTTTTATAAGAGTGAATTATCTAAATCAGTACATAAAACTAGATATATTTTCCATTTGAAAATATTTTTAATGGTGATTTAACACCGAAAATAGAGGTGTTTTTAACTTTTCAGAAAACAACTTCGACAGCGTTTTCAAAAAAGTGCAAATTTTCCTCAACATTAGTTTAAAATTTAAAGTTCAGTTCCTAACATACAATCTATAAAGATCTATATTCAAACATGCCCAAAGTGTAAAATAAAATAATTAAGTTATTTCCCCTTACATTATTAAATCAGCATTCAAATAAATTCTTAAAGATATATGTTTCATCTATTTTTAAAAGTATTAGATCGAAAATCGCATAAATTGAGTAGAAATGACTTTCTACGAAAAAAGCGTTGAATTGTTTTGAATATAGATGACTCGTTTGAACAGAAAGGAGATTGAGGATATTGTACATCACGCACTCCTTAATAGTATTCTTTATAGAGAGAGCGTCACTTACTTGATTGTCACCTGGACGTTTCTAAGCGTTTTACACCCTTTGCGTTTATGCACAACTACACCAACCACTATGAGACATATGACTACGATGCTTGATATCACAAGGCCTAGTACTAGACCTATATTTGATGTGCCTTGGTTCGCTTTCTGTTCCTTACCTGCATTGCAAGGAGGTATATAATTAACACAAAACCTAAGCAAAAGTCCAGAACGTGTTTCCAAGTCTTTGCATCGTATTCCTTGCTCAAGTGAGTACTACAAATATAGACCCAGTAAACAAAATCTTATATTTGGTCGTGTGACCCATCGCAGGTTAGCACTACCATACATGGAAAACAATTGATTTTTGTTTCTTAAGACACTCTACCATGACTTTTATTCAAATATTTCCTTTACTCATTCTTTCTGTTTCTGTTTGAAACCTGAACATCAACATATTCTAGGTTCGGATAGCTTGCTCCTGATGACTTTCACCTATCAGTCAATGTGTCAAACAATTCGCGAATTTGTACAAGGATCAACAACATAAACAGAGCTACCATTATCTATCCGAAATAATCTATTACTGTCATGTGATCGAGAGAACGAATAAGTCGTTTTAATCACTATATTGACAATTAATGATTAGAAAAGTAAAACCATTAACATGTATACGCGTATAAGAAAAACAAATGTAACTTACTTTTCCCCGCACCAAAACATCGTCCATCAACACGATCACATTCGTCATCGCATGTACATTTATAACGGCATCCTGACCCGTACATTCCGCTTGGACAAACTGGAAAAAAATACTGAGTGTTATTTCTAAGGCTGAATGCAATCAATGCAGCTGCTAAGTATGTCGTGTATATGATGATAATAATAATAATTCGAGATTCTTATATACCACTTTATCACAACTTAGTTGTTAAGTCGTCTCAAAGCGGTTCACAAATTATTATCCGTGGTTATAGGGCTTTTGCAACCAGCCAATATCTGTCTCAACTCCCTGGGGAGCATACAGCCGGTGCTGCCATTAAGGCGCTCACAGCTAGCATTCAACAATTCTAGCACTGCCCAACAACGTACTCATTTACAGATGAGTAGTCTGGAACAAGCTGAGTAAAGTATTTTGTTCAAAGATACAACACAGTGCAGTACCGTGACGTGACTCGCACCCGCAACCTTTCGGTCACGAGCCAGTCGTCCTACAGTTGTACAACTAAACTACAGTGCCTCCTGTATGGGGCTAAATTATTCAGAATAAAATAATAATAATGAGTTGACAATAACATGCAATACGTTTTACAATAGTTTGCGAAATCAAAAAAAAACCACTAATGAAAATATTTCAAATCAGTTACTGACTTGCTACACATGCATATATGCTTGCAGTTTGTGCCGATAGGACCATCAATGAAACCTTTGACAGCAGAATATGGTATTAACAGATAACGAATTATTTGCGTTTCACCTTTTTGTATAATTTTTATCTAATTACATTGTATTCTCTAGGTAGTGTCGATCATAAATATATCATGACACAGTCAAAATCAATGGAAAGCATTTGATAAAGAAATTCACATAACTGACCTATGTTACTATGTCATACAGTCATGTCATAAAACCTAAATGTTCTACAATTGGTCGAAACCGTGGGAACATGTTCCTACGCAACTACAGGTACTACTTGTATTTACTATACCATATGATACATATACTATTATTCTAAATAAAATTTGAAATGTTTGTTATATCAATAATATTTTCATTGCTTTTTAAACTGTTTGTTATCAACAAATATCTGGAACTACTTTGCTCTGCGCAGAACGAGAGTATGATTTGAAGACTTTAGTTTTGATCTATAACAGTCAGCTGATAACATATGATAGTGTTTTAAGGATTGTTTTCAAATTATGAATGTTATGTGATAAATAGAATCTTACATGAGCGTGGCACTCGCCTAAAGGCTCGTGTCATATCAAATTATCGAACTCGTTTAATAAATTCATTATTCACGTAATCCGCTGAAGTCAATAGGTTGTTCTCACCATCTGTACAATTGAAACCAGTCCTGCCCGGCCCACAGTCGCATGTTCCTGTCTCCATATTACACCCTAGAGAGTGCTTCTCGCCACACGTGCATGCATGTTGGCAGTTGGTACCATAATAACCTTCAGAGCATCCTTTGACAGTACAATATGACATGCAATGATTAACAATGGAAGCGTTTTTGTGAGACTTTTCTAAAGCAAAAGTGCATGGTATCAGACCTTGTTACCTCAAAATAGAAATTTGAAAGGGGACAATGACAAATACCGTATGATTACAATAACGAAAGTGTCAAACATATTATTGTAAGAAAATAACGGAGGGTTTCTTCTCTATTGTAAACATTTCGACAATACATGTGTTCATAATGCTTTGTTTCTTGAATATAGTATATGTTTCCTCCATATATGAGTTTCATTATCTTCTTACCAAAGACACGCTGCATGTATGAGTTTCATTATCTTCTTACCAAAGACACGCTTCATATATGAGTTTCATTTTCTTGTTACCAATAACACGCAGCATATATGAGTTTCATTATCTTCTTACCAAAGACACGCAGCATGTATGAGTTTCATTATCTTCTTACCAAAGACACGCTTCATTTATGAGTTTCATTTTCTTCTTACCAAAGACACGCAGCATATATGAGTTTCATTATCTTCTTACCAAAGACACGCAGCTTATATGAGTTTCATTATCTTGTTACCAATGACAAGCAGCATATATGAGTTTCATTTTCTTCTTACCAAAGACACGCAGGATATATGAATTTTATTATTATCTTTTTATCAATGACACGCAGCATATATGAGTTTCATTATCTTCTTACCAAAGACACGCAGCAAATATGAGATCCATTATCTCCTTACCAATGACAAGCAACATATATGAGATCCATTATATTCTTACCAATGACACGCAGCATATATGAGTTTCATTATCTTCTTACCAATGACACGCAGCATATATGAGATCCATTATATTCTTACCAATGATAAGCAGCATATATGAGTTTCATTATCTTGTTATCAATGACACGCAGCAAATATGAGTTTCATTATCTTGTTATCAATGACACGCAGCAAATATGAGATTCGTTACCTTGTTATCAATGACACGCAGCAAATATGTTTTTCATTTTCTTCTTATCAAGGGCACGCAGCATATATGAGTTTCGTTATCTTGTTATCAATGACACGCAACATATATGAGTTTAATTATCTTCTTTCCAATGACACGCTGCATATATGAGTTTCATTATCTTCTTATCAAGGGCACGCAGCATATATGAGTTTCATTATCTTGTTATCAATGACACGCAGCAAATATGTTTTTCATTTTCTTCTTATCAAGGGCACACAGCATATATGAGTTTCGTTATCTTGTTATCAATGACACGCAACATATATGAGTTTAATTATCTTCTTTCCAATGACACGCAGCATATATGAGTTTCATTATCTTCTTATCAAGGACACGGAGCAAATATGAGTTTCATTATCCTTTACCAATAACACACAGCATATATGAGTTTCATTATCTTGTTATCAATGCCACGCATCATCAATGAGTTTCATTATCTTGCTCAAATAACTTACGCTGTTCACACGAGTATCCAGTCCATCCAGCAAGGCATTCGCAAAGAACTGTTTCATTACTCGGAACGCAAAATTGAGTTTGATTGGTGTCAGAATCGCATATATCTGGAAGAAAAAACCACGTGAAAACAAATATAATATAAACAAATGGAAGAATACTAAGTGTTATGGTCATGCAAAAGTGATTAACACAAACATGTACATGTATTATTAAGATTGGTTTTCATCCTGAATAATGAAAGTGTCATTTCACAAGGACTTTTTTTGGGAGTTATGTCCCTTTTACCATACCTGTATTGAATCTTGCCTGAACTCCAATTTTGTTTTGTCCCTTTTTGGTAAATTTAAGTTGATGTTTCTGTCTGAACTTATTAAAGTTAATGTCTTTTATGATATAAATATATTTTGTCCTGAGCATTACCCTCATTTCTCAGCCACTTTTTTTTTCTTTTTTTTCTTTTTTTTTTTGGTAAATTTATATGGCTGTATTTACTTGCAGTTTAAAGCCGAAAGCACCTTACTTACAATTAATACAGAAGATTATCTTATAATCTTATTCTAAACATAAAGTTTGTTTATTATTGAGCTGCAGTGCAAAAACCAGTTTCTCCTTTTCTTCCTCTTTCTGTTGACTTTCTCCGTTTTTCATTGCTATTTTTTTCCCTCCCTCTTCTTCTTTTCTATTCTATCTCTCTCTCTCTCTGTTCTCATAAAGGCAATATATGTGTACATGGGTACCATTACATGAACTTGTGTCTAATATATCAACTGATGTAAGTAAGAGTATATATGAGTCGTGTGAGGTATGAATATAAAATATGAATTGTTTGAATGTAACTATACCCATATATTGCAAAAAAGTCTTGAATAAAAAGATAATTACAAACAAAAAAATAGATTGGTTTTCATCCTGAATAATGAAAGTGTTTACTACTTGACTATCATCAAAGCTTATCTTACTTGTAAGTTATTGTCTAAAGGTAAATTCTTATTTTAACTAAATCTTACATTAAATTTATGTCAATTTTTCAATTAGCAATTATTCTATTCAATACATCTAGAAACCTTTCCTATTTAGAAAAAAATGATGCGCATTATACTTGGAATTTGTTAGTGCATATATATAAGTTGTATCTATTTCAGAATAAGATTCATCAGTTTGGTATGAATAATAAAGGCTTAGTTTGTTTTTATCACAGACGGGAATTGAAAACATTGCCGTATTTCGAAAACGTCTGTTTCCTTTGTCAAGCAATGGTGTAAATAACCGGTGTCTCGACTCCAAATCTCTCAAAACCCCGCTGAACACAACTGAAGCTTAGTGAGTTGTTTTCAGCGGTTTAGAGTCGAGAGACCGTTATCATTTACTCTCTTTGATTGATGCAGGAAACAGACGTTTTCGAAATCTTGCAAAATAAGTTTTCACTTCCTATTAGTGTTCAAAATAAACTTTGCTTTCATTGTACAATGTAAAAATTCATTTCAGCATAAACTATATAAGTATGATCAATGTATCTGTATCCAAATCTAACAAAATTATTTCAAATTGCCACAAATACCAAAGTCACCTATCCTTCCGAGGCACCTAGCCTACTCAAGGTTTTTGTTGGTTTTGTTTTAACATCTCCTTGGTTACGGTGGTTTTTCTTGTTTTGAGTTTCCATTTTATTGTACATGTATGTAGGCGGACACTGCAGTATGATAAGTGTCTACCTTGTTGTGTTTTTCAGGTTACCTTTCGGGTTGTTTAGGATATCACTAATGTTTCCCTGTAGAGGTTCTAGCGACGTGTTTCCTTGGATGTCCGTACAGTCACTTTCTCCAAATCCAAGGTCACAGTTGGCGGTTCCGTTCACACTACACAAGAATCCTGTGGGGTTTTAAAGGATACTCTTACTTGATAATTAGTCGTAGGCTAAACACTTTCTGACAATCTTATTGATCACATTATGAGAAATATCTAAATATATTGCTTTGACTACATGATTTGCATCAAAGATATCAACGTTCACTAGCAGTTATTGTTATCCTGAACATGTACACCACTTCATTGTTAAGGCATACACTATATTTACATAATCAGTTTAGTTTATGATCAGTTGAATACCCAATTCGTATTGACAATATAACATAAGCTCACTTGAAATGCATTCCCCGTTTATTGGATGGCAGACCTCGGTGAGCGTACAATTACATGTTTCCCGACACATCTCTCCGTACGTCCCAGGTTCGCAATCTGAATTGTTTGGCAACAAAATAAATAAATAATTGCAGTTTAATCAGGACAAAAAATATAGTATTGATAATACCAAATATCAGCGTGCAATGCATATTCAAATCACACAGAAAGCGTAATAAATATTGACATTGGTTTGGGAGAAACATGCACCACTCCTGGTTTTTCAGGGGGAATATAACTAGTAACACATAATATATGTTAGTTAGTTTTCATGACCTAATTATGCAACTAAGTTCACTGATACCTAACGAGTGATGACTTCTTAAACTTCCGCGTGCATTCTCTTATACAAATGAGAATAAACTAGATTTCAGTCATAATGGCCTTTCATCATCTATACACTATTTTGTACTACCTACCGATAGCACGGTAAATTCAATACCATGGGTTGTTTGTATAAGAATACATAAGAAGAAGTAAAAATCGATTTTGGAACAACTTGAGAATGGATTTTCCTATTTGTATTTTTCCAAATACGAAAGTCTTCTCGCGCCAGATGACTTCCTGAAGCAGAAATGGTAGAAATGTTTTCCGAGGAAGAAATAGTCTCCAATAAACAAATGAATACATTATTATAAAAAAAACCAAAAACATTTTGAGGATGACAGTACCATTTTTAGCGCAAACGTGTAAATTTCAAATCCAATAACGATAATATCGTTTTAAAATGTTTCTCGTGTTTTGAGGCTCAGAATTTTACAGATTGAATGCTTTTTTTAGAATTAGCTCCCGTTTCAAGACAGACTTCAACTACTGATGAATATTGCATTATATAACAAGTTAGGTATCATTCTATTTATATAATAAAGACATGACCTCCTATGTTTTTGAATTACATTGATAATACAAACAACTAAATACTAATTTAAGTAAGGGATCGAGCTGGAATGTCTCGTTCTTGAATCACACATTTGTTATATACTTGAACAGTTTATTTCAATCTTACGTCAAAACAAGAATGATTATGTCCCTTATAAAGATAAGAAGATGCATTTTTGGATTTTTTTTATAACCAGACCAGTAAGTAAGTAGTCATTTACATTCCGCACAGCTCTGTCCTGTCAGCCCAGCTATACAATCACATGTTCCATGTACAGGGTCGCAGGCTCTTGTACTGTTTGCTAAACACGTGCACGTCTGTTGACAGTCGGCACCAAAATACCCGTCATCGCAGACTGAAATTAACAGTGATGGTCATTTAAAAAAGAGTTTATACAAGGAGTATCAACTAATATATCATAATCCAAATCATTTCCTTATTCTTATTATCTGATTTTTGTTCAAAATTATTTAAAAAGTTATTTATTAAACAAGTTGAACATAAATTGGTTTTGCAATGTAAGGTTATACAAGAATTTGATAGAGTGAATGTATACGATATTTTGGTATGATATCGTAGATTTTATCACATACCTATGTAATCTTACAATAGTAATACAACAATGTTCTGTTGATGTTTTCTGTCGGTTTGTATCCCACATGTGTGATACAAGATGTTGTATAACCATAATAGCCGGAACTACTTTTTATGGGAATCCCCTTGTCATGGCGAACTGAAACATTCCCGGTATTTGCAAAAAATATCAAAGTTTAGAAAATGTTTGTATCGATCTCTACCAAATACGGAAGGTATGTAATAAAAGCAAGACCACACACTTGTGTTTTTCTAACGAGTCAGAAAGCACTCATTTATTGCAAGGACGTATATATTCACTCGTGCGCTCCGCGCACTCGTGAATATATTCGTCCGCGCAATAAACTCGTGCTTTCTGTTTCGTTAGAAAAACACAAGTGTGCGGTCTTGCATATTTATATAATAACAATACCAACTGTTACTTCAAACAATTTAAACATCCAGGAGAGCGAGTCAAATATCAGATGCGCTGTAACGGATGAACCTTTCCAAGCCCAGCACTATATGGAAACTGACTATATCAAATGGTTAACTGCGATGGTTCTTTAGGCAGAGTGTGGTGTCGAGATATGATCTATTCCGTAACAACTTACAGTTGTATCGCTCACACCAACGTGTTGAAAATCAGAGCTCTCAGGGGATATATATACAAAACAAAAGACGCATTTTTCAGCTTTACACCACTCCTTTTCTTTTTCGGGACCGACCATGATATTGGGTTAATCTCTGAAACACCAACTTCTCAGAAACAATAACTGATTTCTCCTTTATGATACAGGCATGTACAATGTAATTGACAAAGCAATTTACCTTCTGTACAGTTATCACCAGTTAAACCAGCAATGCATCGACACTCTCCTGAATGAGGATCGCAGGTTGCATTCGGGGAGCATGAACATGTTTGGTTACAGTAGTATCCGTACTGGCCTTCTAAACATTCTGTAACAGAGACAATGACCAGGCCATATTTTGGACATATACTGCAGTAATATTCATACTATTCGTCTAATCATTCTGAAACAGAGACAAAGACCGGACGATATCTAGACATGCAGTGTAGTACATGTAATACCTTTACTCCCCCTCCAATTATTCTGAAACAGAGACAAAACAGGAATACAATTAGACATAGAGTGTCGTACATGTGATACCTTTACTCTCCCTCTAAATATTCTGAAACAGAGACAAAGCAGGAATACAATATAGACATACAATGTGGTAATATCCATGCTCTCTCTCTAAATATTCTGAAACAAAGACAAAGCATGAATATATCTGGGCATACAGTGCAGTAAGATTCACACTTTCTCTCTAAATATTCTTAAACAAAGACAAAGCATGAATATATCTGGACCCTCTAAATATATCGGACAAGATACAATACAGCACTGTGCGTTGTTATAACACGACCGATCACATTTGACACCCCATGTTTTTGTTCCATACTCATGTCAGTTAAATGATTTTCGACATCAAATGCACTTGAGAGACTGCTGATCATTTGAAATATTGTTATTGTTTGACTATAACTAAATATGAGGAGAATATATAAACTTTTAGTACATACAATTTGTTTCAAATGAAGCCTTATGCTTCATTTGTGGTTACAGTTGCATATTATTAAGAGCATTTTCCAACAAATCAGCGATTATCATCGGTAATAACGTCNCTGCGCCACCCACACCCTAATCATGCACTCCTTATTGCAAGATATCCCTACATATATTGTATGCATGAAGCTGAAATTATACAATCTTACAAATACTACGTCAGTACATGTGGGACTAATACCAATTTTTGTTTGTAACGCTAGAATTTTGTGAAATTTTTTCATGATATGCTCAAAATGTCATAAACTTACTAGAACATGTATAATCACTCATTGTGACGGCAACATGAACAATACGATGATGTCATGATTGCACGGCGAGTGCAAACCTCATGGCATGTTCCTAGCATGTATCCAGTAATAAAAAATAAATATGTTCATATGCATGCGTTTGTAGAGAGTGTGGCGCAGACGAATTCGTTCCCTTTCCATGTGAAGTGTTGTTTGCTTAATAAGTCAGAGGGAACTGGGACGATAGTATATATAATACTCAATTGTCTAGTAGCTCTTCGAGTTAATACAGTTTTACCCATGAAATATTGTATGCTTTTTGAAAACTCTTCTCTTTTTTACTACTGTTTTCAGATACAGGTCATGTGATAAGTATCGTTCGAAGACAGTGACAAGGCTTACCACTGAACCTATATGTTGTCCAGGTTTTGTACCCTACAACGATACTGCTGCATTTTGCGTGAAAGGTACGAGTCGCAAATGTTGAAATTGGCCAAATTATTTATGAGTTCATACGTACATTCTTGTAATAACTCCAAAAACCCAAAACCTATTTTTACTAATATAACACATCTCCAGCACACACACAGGAATACACACATAGGAAGATATTAGTCAGGTGGCATGGGACTAGTAGTTAGCGCCTGATAAGGCAGCTCCTGCAAATACCTTAAAATTGGATTGATTAATGTATATGTTAACTGTACTGTATATCTATGTACTGTAAAGCACTTTAGAGTGGCTTATGCTAGCTTGATAGAGCGCTATATCAAATGTTGTATACTATTATTATTATTGTATGACACATTAAATTCACTAAGCATATGAGGTTGGTGGGTTGGGGGGTATCTGTGACGGTTTCTTTTACAACTACAACTAACAACTACGGCTGAAGCTTAACTCTTCCGATAGAGATATTGGAATAGCATAATGTTCATATGCATGTCTGGATGCATTTCCAAAAAGGTAATATAGCATGTTCAAACAATATAGTGTTAATCTTTTTCGTCTATTATAGAGTCGACAACGTAGATCAGATCTTTCTCCAGTGCATTTAGATTTGATAACGCAGACGACGGCTGTATATATGAACAAACGGTTCAATTGCCCATAAATACATGTTAATCGTATGGGACGTATATCTTTTGAAATGTGTCTGTATTATTGCAAAATCAAACTTAAAAAGGCATTATTTCAAAAAAAAAAAAAAATGTAAATTAAATGTGAAATATTTTGGACTTGATCACTGTATAATAGTTTTATTTGCAAACTCATCCATGGCTAACAACTAAACGTCTATATATAGTTTGTGTTTTGATACACCTAAATATACGTATTAATATTCCCTACAGGATGTGAAACCGGTAAGTATGGGGACAACTGCACACTTGACTGTAACTGTACAGGCAATACCAGACCAGACTGCGATATAAGTACAGGCGATTGCAAATGCAAGGATGGATGGACTGGACAAAATTGCACCGACGGTAATAAGAAGTCCTCTCTCTTTCCACAGCTTTCGCGATTATTTGAAAACAAATTATGCATTTTACAAAATCTCTGTAAGCAAACTCCCTCTTCAACTTGTGTTTCGACGTGTATGATATTTTTTTTATTCAAAACATAATATTAATAAACATTTTATGATGAACAAGCAACATACACATCCTATTGATAAATTACACCCCTAAAGTTCACAGCAGCTATAAAAACACTACTCAGACCTATAATATACGACACTCAGAGCTATAATATACCACACGCAGAGCTATAATATACCACCCTTCAGCTATAATATAATATATATACGTGTTTACCAGACACATAGCACCGCTCCTATTTGATACATCAGATTTCTTTATTAACGGTACATAAAATGAAAAATGATCAATGAAATTAATTGGAAAGGCGCTGCTGCACCAACGATTCGCTAAAACCAATATCATATAAGTTAATGTTTTCACGTTGAAAAGTGATGAACTGTTCACCAAATATGTATATGGGGGTCAAAAGGTCGCATCAGGAATAAATTCATCTCAATATCTTTTCTTTGTCAAAGTGATACCAAAGTACAAACGCATATCACTCACGCAGTACTATTATTTAAGGTATTCCATGTATAATACACATTTTTTTGGAGGTGAAAAAAATATATACTTTTATTTTCCATACACCACAGTGAAGTATTTCCAAATTTTTATGAACTTCTACCGCATATTTTTCGAGTTTTGATGCATTTTATAAGTACACTCCACTGGGTCCGCTTTCTGTTCAAAGTCCAATAAAATGACAAAAACCTTCTATATGCAGACAGTTATGTAGAATAAAATGCATTTTTGTTGTTTTCGATGATCAGCATGACTTTAAACTGAGCAACAAGTAAGAGTCGGAGTTATCGCAGCTTCCCAACCGTTGCCATAGTTATGTTTTCATTTGCTTTTCAATGTTAATTAGCTAGTGTATTCAATTCATTTTTTTCAGTATGCGATGAGGGGTTTTACGGTCACAGCTGCGAAAATGCATGTGCGTGCGAAAACAACAGCACGTGTGAACACGTGAATGGAACGTGCAACTGCACAGAGCCAGGGTGGATAGGTGACACTTGTGACACAGGTACTGCATAACGATATCCCACACAGATAAACATATGGATAAATGTACACCGATTCACACATTGACATATTTCTGTATTATGTTCTCCTTCGTACATAAATCATTTTGTATCTTTTTTTGCAATAACATAAAACAAACACATTTTTGATAACCTAGTAGCATGCGAGCTGCGTGTACAGCAGTGTGTCCATACCAAAATGTTTCTTACAATATCGATAATTCGTTTTGAAATTCATGAATGCACTTCAAAGTCCAAGCTATCAGAACAATACACATTTCTGATCGCCAAACTGAAAAACAACATCCTGTCATTGTGATACGAATTCTATCTCAAGCGTGAGTTCTACATACATAAAAACAATAATTAAAACAGAGATAATATGAAAATACGCTCTTAAACCCATTCTATAATATCTATCTTACATTTCAGGAAAACGCATTTTTATGTATACAAGAATAATCACTTTTTGTACGTAGTTTTCCTTTTTGACGTGGTTACAGTTACATATTATTAAGAGCATTTTCCAACAAATCAGCGATTATCATCGGTAATAACGTCGCTTATTGACGTTATTACCGATGATAATCGCTGATTTGTTGGAAAATGCTCTTAATTATATGTAACTGTAACCACGTCAAAAAGGAAAACTACGTACAAAAAGTGATTATTCTTGTATACATAAAAATGCGTTTTCCTGAAATGTAAGATAGATATTATAGAATGGGTTTAAGAGCGTATTTTCATATTATCTCTGTTTTAATTATTGTTTTTATGTATGTAGAACTCACGCTTGAGATAGAATTCGTATCACAATGACAGGATGTTGTTTTTCAGTTTGGCGATCAGAAATGTGTATTGTTCTGATAGCTTGGACTTTGAAGTGCATTCATGAATTTCAAAACGAATTATCGATATTGTAAGAAACATTTTGGTATGGACACACTGCTGTACACGCAGCTCGCATGCTACTAGGTTATTAAAAATGTGTTTGTTTTATGTTATTGCAAAAAAAGATACAAAATGATTTATGTACGAAGGAGAACATAATACAGAAATATGTCAATGTGTGAATCGGTGTACATTTATCCATATGTTTATCTGTGTGGGATATCGTTATGCAGTACCTGTGTCACAAGTGTCACCTATCCACCCTGGCTCTGTGCAGTTGCACGTTCCATTCACGTGTTCACACGTGCTGTTGTTTTCGCACGCACATGCATTTTCGCAGCTGTGACCGTAAAACCCCTCATCGCATACTGAAAAAAATGAATTGAATACACTAGCTAATTAACATTGAAAAGCAAATGAAAACATAACTATGGCAACGGTTGGGAAGCTGCGATAACTCCGACTCTTACTTGTTGCTCAGTTTAAAGTCATGCTGATCATCGAAAACAACAAAAATGCATTTTATTCTACATAACTGTCTGCATATAGAAGGTTTTTGTCATTTTATTGGACTTTGAACAGAAAGCGGACCCAGTGGAGTGTACTTATAAAATGCATCAAAACTCGAAAAATATGCGGTAGAAGTTCATAAAAATTTGGAAATACTTCACTGTGGTGTATGGAAAATAAAAGTATATATTTTTTTCACCTCCAAAAAAATGTGTATTATACATGGAATACCTTAAATAATAGTACTGCGTGAGTGATATGCGTTTGTACTTTGGTATCACTTTGACAAAGAAAAGATATTGAGATGAATTTATTCCTGATGCGACCTTTTGACCCCCATATACATATTTGGTGAACAGTTCATCACTTTTCAACGTGAAAACATTAACTTATATGATATTGGTTTTAGCGAATCGTTGGTGCAGCAGCGCCTTTCCAATTAATTTCATTGATCATTTTTCATTTTATGTACCGTTAATAAAGAAATCTGATGTATCAAATAGGAGCGGTGCTATGTGTCTGGTAAACACGTATATATATTATATTATAGCTGAAGGGTGGTATATTATAGCTCTGAGTGTGGTATATTATAGCTCTGAGTGTCGTATATTATAGGTCTGAGTAGTGTTTTTATAGCTGCTGTGAACTTTAGGGGTGTAATTTATCAATATGATGTGTATGTTGCTTGTTCATCATAAAATGTTTATTAATATTATGTTTTGAATAAAAAAAATATCATACACGTCGAAACACAAGTTGAAGAGGGAGTTTGCTTACAGAGATTTTGTAAAATGCATAATTTGTTTTCAAATAATCGCGAAAGCTGTGGAAAGAGAGAGGACTTCTTATTACCGTCGGTGCAATTTTGTCCAGTCCATCCATCCTTGCATTTGCAATCGCCTGTACTTATATCGCAGTCTGGTCTGGTATTGCCTGTACAGTTACAGTCAAGTGTGCAGTTGTCCCCATACTTACCGGTTTCACATCCTGTAGGGAATATCAATACGTATATTTAGGTGTATCAAAACACAAACTATATATAGACGTTTAGTTGTTAGCCATGGATGAGTTTGCAAATAAAACTATTATACAGTGATCAAGTCCAAAATATTTCACATTTAATTTACATTTTTTTTTTTTTTGAAATAATGCCTTTTTAAGTTTGATTTTGCAATAATACAGACACATTTCAAAAGATATACGTCCCATACGATTAACATGTATTTATGGGCAATTGAACCGTTTGTTCATATATACAGCCGTCGTCTGCGTTATCAAATCTAAATGCACTGGAGAAAGATCTGATCTACGTTGTCGACTCTATAATAGACGAAAAAGATTAACACTATATTGTTTGAACATGCTATATTACCTTTTTGGAAATGCATCCAGACATGCATATGAACATTATGCTATTCCAATATCTCTATCGGAAGAGTTAAGCTTCAGCCGTAGTTGTTAGTTGTAGTTGTAAAAGAAACCGTCACAGATACCCCCCAACCCACCAACCTCATATGCTTAGTGAATTTAATGTGTCATACAATAATAATAATAGTATACAACATTTGATATAGCGCTCTATCTAGCTAGCATAAGCCACTCTAAAGTGCTTTACAGTACATAGATATACAGTACAGTTAACATATACATTAATCAATCCAATTTTAAGGTATTTGCAGGAGCTGCCTTATCAGGCGCTAACTACTAGTCCCATGCCACCTGACTAATATCTTCCTATGTGTGTATTCCTGTGTGTGTGCTGGAGATGTGTTATATTAGTAAAAATAGGTTTTGGGTTTTTGGAGTTATTACAAGAATGTACGTATGAACTCATAAATAATTTGGCCAATTTCAACATTTGCGACTCGTACCTTTCACGCAAAATGCAGCAGTATCGTTGTAGGGTACAAAACCTGGACAACATATAGGTTCAGTGGTAAGCCTTGTCACTGTCTTCGAACGATACTTATCACATGACCTGTATCTGAAAACAGTAGTAAAAAAGAGAAGAGTTTTCAAAAAGCATACAATATTTCATGGGTAAAACTGTATTAACTCGAAGAGCTACTAGACAATTGAGTATTATATATACTATCGTCCCAGTTCCCTCTGACTTATTAAGCAAACAACACTTCACATGGAAAGGGAACGAATTCGTCTGCGCCATACTCTCTACAAACGCATGCATATGAACATATTTATTTTTTATTACTGGATACATGCTAGGAACATGCCATGAGGTTTGCACTCGCCGTGCAATCATGACATCATCGTATTGTTCATGTTGCCGTCACAATGAGTGATTATACATGTTCTAGTAAGTTTATGACATTTTGAGCATATCATGAAAAAATTTCACAAAATTCTAGCGTTACAAACAAAAATTGGTATTAGTCCCACATGTACTGACGTAGTATTTGTAAGATTGTATAATTTCAGCTTCATGCATACAATATATGTAGGGATATCTTGCAATAAGGAGTGCATGATTAGGGTGTGGGTGGCGCAGTGGATAACGCACCCGCCTTTCATCGGGATTATAATCCCCAATCGGATGTGAAAAGGTACGAGGTCACCTTCCCGGACACATGGTATTTTTCCTTCCTCATAAGATCGCCTGCGAGCTAACACACGAGCCCACAAGGTTGACTAATATTAGTTAAGAGAACTTGGTTCAAAATTATTGTGATCAAAATAGAATTGAAATTATTTTTTTCAAGTGCATAATAAGGTCCATTACTTTTGACAAGGACATGTTTATAAAAATGTTTAACAGCCTTAGATATGACTGTTACCACAAATCTTTTATCCATAAATTAAAGTATGATCAAATGTGGTATCCAATATGAAAGCATATTATTTTGGATAATAGTGCATGATTGGAGGCTTGTAATTTTTGGATGTACACCTTTAAATTGATGTCGCTGCATGAATAAGCGGTATACCAATACGAGTTGTCTTTAACTATTTGGCGCTTAAAATATCTGGATATTTTCTAACAAATAACAGACTCTACAATAAACCGTTTTTAAACTGATTCATGTAAGCGTTATTTCACAATACTTTTAATACAATCTAAAATAAATCATTCCTGTTAACGGATTAAGGTATCGGCGTTCCTATCAAAGAAGATAAATCTGACAGAAGAAATATATTTTTAAGAATAAATCAAAAAGTTCATTTACTAATGCAGCTATAAAAATAAAAAGTTGATATCCCTTGAAGACAATATGGTTCATCAATAACGGATTATACTCACACATCTTTTTGGCGGCACTTCTTCCAAAACCAGGCACCACTACACGTTTGTTGTCGTGTTTTGCATTTGGCTTTGAAGGATTCCTTTACAGTAACGGTGCTCCTGTTTGAAATAAAGTATGAATATATATATAGAGAGCGGCACAAGTAGAGCCAATATAGCTACACTTACCACGACACCACAGCCAACTCATTTAACAGAAATCATCAAAGCCTCGATCATATCTTACGGTCACGCACGTAGTTGACCGTAGTGGGGGATGACCGTAGTTGACTGTAAAGGGGGATGACCGTAGTTGACCGTAGTTGGGGATGACCGTAGTTGACTGAAGTAGACTGTATGTGACCTTAGTTAAACGTATGAAACGTAGTTATTATAAACATAGTTTGAACTTCAAGAAACCAATGATTTGGCCGTGGTTAGCCCCAAAATTTCAACATGTTCACAGTATCTCAACGGTGAGGTTGGATACCAAGACCCTACTGTGACCGTAGTTTGAACGTAGTTGACCCTATTTGACCGTAATTGACGTTACCTGACAGTACTGTTTACCGTAGCTGACCGTAGTACTATGACACTACGGTTAGTTTAAACTTTATTTTATTATCGGTATAATATTCCAGTAATACAAACATGATATACATATAGGATTCGAAAACAAGTACAAAGCACTTATGTTAATCTGTCTCCTTTTTTTGTAAAACGGCGATTGGACGGCACTGACCGAATATCATGCATATATATATAAGTATATGGAAGAGAAGAGGATGGGGAGGAAGGAGGGAAAGAGATACTAAGGGTTTTTAAGAAAGTAGTGTTGGGGGTAAAATATATAGGGGAGTACATTACACTACGGTTAAAACTACTGTCAAGTAGGGTCAAGCAGGATTAAATAGGGACAATTACTAGAGTTGGACTACGTTTGAAGTACGTTCACATCACCCATACTTCCTTATTGACAGTAAATTCTGTTATCCATCTGTGAAGATAAGGGATGTTGATGACCTAACATAAGGAAGAAGAGAATTATAGTGTAAACTGTACTTTATGTATAAGTACAACAGTACATGTTTCGCAGTCATCTGAATGATATGTCTATGTAATTGTACATGTTTATAGATATGAATAAAATATGGTTTAAACTAAACTGTACTTTGTTTTAGTCAAACATACGTTGGCACAGTTGTCTGCAAATTAAACGACACTACAGGTAATGACAATCAAATAAAACCTATAATCTATTTAAAACAAAATCTTCTGTGTATCGACCTTGTAAATAATTCCCGATTAAGATTGTAATCTCGCAAATTAAGAGGAAAATGCATACCTGGACGTCTCAATTTAATTTAATATTTGTAAATATATCTTTCAACACGTCTTATTAGTATTTAACGTAACTGAATATACTGATATATATTATCAGCAAGTTGATTATCGAATACATTCAAAGGTGATTTACTCAGGTTTAGTCTTACATTTTTGTTCGTGTACAATTTTTGGGTTCAAGGAATAAGTCAGTCTCTGTTTCAGAAGAACTTGTAGCATTGACTTGTAGAGGTGGTGTACTTCCATTTGACGTCATTTGTGTGTTTTGAAGACTGGTCGTTGTTCCTGGTTTTGCCGTTGTATCATCTGAAGCATCCAATCCATCTAACACAAAGTAAGTAGCTAGTATAATCAAATACAGTACACGTCTTTGCACTGACATTGTTGGTTTTTGTAATTATGACGTTCACAACAGGTGCAGAACTGAAATGTTAAAGAAACAAAATTAAAACTTCTGATTGATATTTGTATCAAAATATTTAAAACATTATACCGAAGAATCCGTGTGTAAATCACTATTTAAAAATTATCTTATCAAATATGATAATCGCGAGGAATTATCCAAGTATCAGTGAAACACTTATGCAATTTATAGACAACAACAGTATGTCTGCTAATTACCGAATGATGAAATATTTTAAGGTAACAAACAAAAACAAAAACAAAAAAAAGTAAAAATATTTAAATATTTGTTTATCAATACATATTAACATTTCGTTGCTATGAGTGTAGATCATAATACCAATTAAAATATTTTTATGATCACATACTAAGTACTTAAAGTGAAAACTGCACCTTCAGATGGAAACATGTGTGGTTATCATTTACGTACAAGAGAAACAAGGGAGAAATATATCCGGATCGATATTGATAAATCATTTACATTTGATGGATGCTGTATTGAAATATATGACTCGTATGTCACTTGAACCTCTACTCGTGTGTTATTTAGGGTTATTCGATATCACATTATCAGTTGACAAATATCTTCAATCAGAAAAAATAATCGTCGTCACATTTATGAAATATTTTATTGACATCGTGTTATTTCAAAACAATTTGTAAAAGAAGGTGTTGTTTTTTGGCTTATTTTAATTAGAGTACATTATTAGAATTGAAATACATATATTTATCATATAATATGGTACGTAACGCAGTTCTGGTCATTCCTATTATATTTGTTATGTTATTCGAATTTGAAGTCAGACGAATTTTGGACCCTATCACTCTAGCAGTATGACGGAAAAAGCTGAGCGTTTCCAATTATAAAAACTTTCACGCGTATCAGGTCTTGCTGCTATTGGTTTAAAAGAATATTTTGGTCATGGATTTATTTATTGAGAACTGTTTTGTTTCTCCTTCTATCATGTCCATTTTTAAATGGTTACGTTGGACACCTTGAATTATAATAGAGCGAATCAAAACATTAAAAAATAAAGAAATGTTTCGTAAACATTTAACGTATTATTATGAAAATATTGCAAATGTCTAAAGCAAATATGTCAGTTATTTGTCAAAAGGATTAAGACTCTTTGAGTTGAAAATGCTTAGCCATGGTGTTATCTTATTACGGTGAGACAGACGCCACAGCGAGAGTGTTAAAAAGTAATACAATGTAATTCATATAAATTCTAATTAAAAACCAAAATAAACGATAAGTAATAGTTGCTTTTATAAACATTGAAAACATTTATCTCACTTACAGCATCACATATGACATATGTTTGTTCAAAGTGCGTGTAAATGAATACAACAATGACCTAAAGGAAGAATTATAGAATGTAATAATATTGATACATTGTTTGGAAACGTTTTTAAGCCTGAATACAACTCCATTCACTAAGTAAAATGTCTGGACATATACAGTTGTACCATACATAATATTTTAACTTCCTTGTTATGTAGAAACGTTTTAAAACAGTCAGTTTGTTTGTATCATTGTATGAATCACACTATGTGATCATCATCAAGATGGCGTCTTTGCAGAATGCAAAACAGTCTTTTAATTGTGAAATATATTCATTTCGTCCTATATATAAAGTATACATCTGTATAAATATGATAACATAATTGATAATAAAGCTGCGAATAGTTTCTGTGTGATTTCGAAATGTTCAACTATGATAAACAAATATAAGTGTATACTGATATGCTACTTACCTGAACAATAAAACGCGAACAAGTGTATACTGATATGTTACCTATCTCAACAATAAACCGCGAACAAGTGTATACTGATATGTTACTTACCTGAACAATAAACCGCGAACAAGTGTATACTGACATGTTACTTATCTCAACAACAAACCGCGAACAAGTGTATACTGACATGTTACTTACCTCAACAATAAACCGCGATCAAGTGTATATTGACATGTTACTTACCTGAACAATAAACCGCGAACAATTGTATACTGATATGCTACTTATCTCAACAATAACCCGCGAACAAGTGTATACTGATATGTTACTTACCTCAACAATAAACTGCGAACAAGGGTGTACTGATATGTTACTTACCTGAACAATAAACCGCGAACAAGTGTATACTGATATGTTACTTACCTGAACAATAAACCGCGAACAAGTGTGTACTGACATGTTACTTACCTGATCAATAAACCGCGAACAAGTGTATACTGATATGTTACTTACCTCAACAATAAACTGCGAACAAGGGTGTACTGATATGTTACTTACCTGAACAATAATCCTGTAGCCCTTCCTATTGCTTCACATATATATACTGTGTACATACACAGGACGAGTCTGTGTCGCGCATGTACTCCACTTCACTGAGAGGGTTAGGGATTGTCGTTCACTGACTACAGCATACGTCAAGTGCTCGTATTTTGCTGATCAATGTACCGTGAGTCTCACAACGTAGTAAACAGGGGTATGCGGACACAATCACTGTTCACATGATCTTGGCAGAGTATACGTAGAATATATGTTCATGATTTTTTTCAAGTTATTTACGAAAAAGCATACAAACACAGTAAAACTTTCCCGCTCATTGTGAACTTCCTCTTTCCGAGAAATGTGCTCTATTTAACTACATGTGTAGTAGGACTGACCCTAGGACACTCAATGTTCAACACAGATTCTAGTCTGTGGTTTCGTGGAATAAATATAAACAACTCACCTGTAACATTTAACGAACGAGAGAAAACGATAACAGCACGATAACACTCCTGTGTAGACTGATGAGTGAACGTGCGGTAATCGAGGGTGTTTCTCTTTCATTGAAGAATAGACGGACAGTAAGAGGTCAGTTAATAGGACAGTTAAGAGAAAGCGCTAGGAGAAGAGTGACAGTGATAAAACCCGGATGTTAACAAAGACTGTCCAACTTTACCTTGCCAGAACTCTTGCATTTCGGTAGGCGTACAATAAACAACGATGACAAACTGAATATTAATCAACATTACAGAGATATTATACATTCAAGTACACACACACACTAACAACACGACCGGGTCTAACACACGGACGCATCTCGGCGATCACACATGTACACACGTACGTGCTTGAATTTTGCAAGGGTTTGTCATAAACAAACTGGTTTTGCGTCGTGTATTTGATTCATACAATTTGAATTTATCTGGATTGAAGTAACTTATTGATAGTTTAGAGAAGGAAGTAGAATATTTTCAACATTTCACTTAATGAAAACATAGTTTGCTTATGCACAACTACAAACAAACGCTTAGACTTAATACCATGCATTTACCAGTTGCTATTAACTACTGCCATCAGCCCTGGGAACGAGGTCACTCGGATAATCTTGCAGCAAGCTAGTTTGATAATGTTCTTTGATTGCACCGATTTGGATTTCCATTTCTTTGTCCCTAGCATTATCGATGAGTCCAGTAAGGAAGATACAGCTGTATTGTGCAGAGTTGTTTATTTTTGACACACTTTATCTATTACCAAATGTTATAGGTGCGATAAAATATGTATGTTTTATTCTTTACATACTTTATCTATTGCAAAATGTTAAAGGTGCTATCCCATGTTTATGTGTTATTTTTGACGTACTTTTTCTATTACCAAAAGTCATACGTGTCACGTACTTTATCTCTTACCAAATGTTTTAGGTGCGAGCACATGTGTATGTGTTATTTCTAATAAACTTTATCTATTACCAAATGTTATAGGTGCGAGCACATGTGTATATGTGTTATTTCTAATAAACTTTATCTATTACCAAATGTTATAGGTGCGAGCACATGTGTATTTGTTATGTTTTAAATACTTTGTCTATAACCAAATGGTATAGGTGCGATCACATATGTATCTGTTATTTTTGACTAACTTGTTCTATTGCCAAATGGTATAGATGCGAACACATCTATATCACAGCTATATTTATACTGAATAAAAATTAAATCTCGCTGGTCCCGATCATTGTTTACAATATCAGCTGTTGCTTGACCATCCTTGACCGAGATGTTCTTAAGGTGATTGGCCTTATCAGTGATTAGCGCAAATTTTATCTTTTTCTATCTTAAAAAAACAACAGTTAACTGAGTTAAGATAGCAGATATTTAAGTGGGTATTAATACCTTCAAAATAACTTGCTTACCTTGTTTATTGATCAACTTACTAGAGGTTGACATTGTCATTAATTGGTGATAAATCATCGTTTGAACAACTGGGCACAGGTTAATACTGATAACGTCATCAGTTGCTAGATCATATTCATTACTTATTACGTCATCAGTTGCTAGATCCCATTCATTATTTATTACGTCATCAGTTGCTAGATCCCATTTATTACTTATTACGTCATCAGTTGCTAGATCCCATTCATTACTTATTACGTCATCAGTTGCTAGATCCCATTCCCATGTCATCAGGTGCTAGATCCCATTCCCATGTCATCAGTTGCTAGATCCCATTCCCAAGTCATCAGTTGCTAGATCCCATTCCCATGTCATTAGTTGCTAGATCCCATTCCCATGTCATCAGTTGCTAGATCCCATTCCCATGTCATCAGTTGCTAGATCCCATTCCCATGTCATCAGGTGCTAGATCCGATTCCCATGTCATCAGTTGCTGTATCGTGATCATTGTTAAACACGTCAAAACTTGCTTGGTCTTCGTGAACATTACTTATGTCATCAGTTGATTGATCATCACCAGTATCATCAACATTGTCAGTTGCTGCTTAATTCTTCATCATTAGCTACGGGATACCTTATCAGTATTTTTACTTCATCACCAGAAACTGAATACTGGTGATCTTTTATTACGTCATCAGTTGTTGGATAGGGATCACAAAACATGACTAGTATCGTGAGATACATTTTATTGTGAAATTATACGTAAAATATATAAACAAATATACATCCATTAAATAAACATAAATAATACCCCTCTATGTATACAATTCAATACCACACATACAAAGTTTGAGTTCCTAAAGTATTTACAGATTACATAATTTTTTGTTCATTAAACGATTCTTTGGTAGGTTCTCTATATGAATGTAATTGACAATGAACTTCTCTTTAGATATCTCATACACAGTAATGTTTTACTTAGTAGTGCTATGAAAAATATCGAGAAATACTGTATATAGATAATATATTCTCCTCTTTACAAAACACAAAACAAATCGTCTGTACACGACTTTTGTCGATCTCGAGGCATTTTCAGGCAACTGGCGTTTGATTGTGACGTCATAGTTAAAAGTTCACATGTAAATGATATCAAAAGAAGGTAACGCCACAAAGATAGCATAATATAGTACCAAAATAATGTGCCTTAATAAGTGCAAAATGATCACCAATACATATATAGATTTTGAAAAATATATTAATTTACTTATGAATATAGCTGCCATTACAATTATTATATATTTGTATCTGCCTACAATAAAGAGAACGTTAATGCAGTTAGGGATTCAATGGCGTATTATTTTGCGCCATATTCAAATTAAGTCAGGCTTGACAACAGGACAGCACGCCATTTTGAATGGGCTACTCTTCGGGCGGACGGAAAAAGTCGAAACAGGCAGACAGGCCTATCAGTCAGTCTTGTGTGTTTGTTATTTTATATCATATTTTACTTTGCAGGTAGTTGTCACTTTGTTAGTTGCTTTCTAACGTCTCCAATGACTAGCTTATGTGACATCAATGCTAGGTTATGGTGTCTGACAATGTAGAATTACCATCTTTGATCGTTGAACTCAAGCATTGGGGAAAAGCTATATTTACAACTGATGATTAGAAAGTACAACTTATATTTGTTATCATGCCTTATTGTTAAATAGGATATGACATATTTACAAACCAAAAATGGAAATATATGTAATAAAATATGTATTTGTCCACAAAGTATACAATAAAAAAAAGAATTGTAAATATATATATATAAATAAAACATGTGCTTGTTCACAAAATATACGATACCAACACAGAACACATATTAGGTTATCAGTTTAGATTTCGAAACAAAAACATATGTTAACATAGGAAAGAGGTAGCAAATATTTTAAAACTTGCACTATTTGTAGATACAGCAAACATAGATAAATCATTAAAACGAACAGGAACTGTAGAAAAGTAAAACGAGGTACATGTTTTAACATACAATATGTTGGCTTTTAAAGCATGCCTTTTGTTCAATGTTAATCACTTATCACTGACATGTTGTGTGTGATCATATGTATCGTCAATATCATTGACATTTTTGTCACGTGACCTCTGTTCTAGTTTATCATATACGTCATCACCATTTCCTGCTTTGTTCTGATTCAACTTCATGTGATCATATTGGTCTTTTCCGGGAATTGCGTCTGTCACGTGTCTGTCCTTTCCGAGTTCATCATAAGCGTCCTCCTTATTCAAAGCCTCGTTTACATATGCCGTAACTTGTGATGAGTCATCACTCCCCAGACAATGATCCTTATCGGCATTCTCTATAATGCTACCAGTACCATTATCCTTGATACTGGTTCGCTTTATGAAGATGACACTCGAGTCCTGGTATGGAGCTAACCGTTGTTTTGGTTCGTTTGGCCTGTCCACCTCCGTATAGAGACTCCCATTAGGAGCCTTTGATCGTCTCGGACTATGGTGTCCAGGCTGTTTCCTTTTCTTCTGAAGTTCTTTCACGGAAAGGTTACTATAGTAATCAGCCAGGATGGTATTTGTATTACCTTGAACGCAGAACATGATTGTTATATGCTTAAATATAACATTGTATCAAATCTGGACATTTTAATTTATAAATGTTTTGGTTTATTTGAGAACAAGTTCAGTAATGTAAACTATGAATGGAAAGTAGAATGTAGAACGTAAAGTAGAGTATAACATACGGAAAAACAAGTTCAGGTAATGGAGTATAATACAAGGGGGGGGGGGCATTTTTATAAAAGAAGATGATATATAGAATATAATTATCAATGGAGAACAGAGTAAAAATAGGGAGTTTATGTAATATATGGAGAATAATCTGATATAAGGAAAATGGAAAACTATATGTTGAGAAAGGGGAAATGTATCGCAAATTAAGACAAAATTGGTGCCTTGTAATATATGGAGAATAAAAGGAAAAGATAAAAACAAGTTGTCAAATTTAACAAGAAAACTCTTTAAACACAAACTTTTCAAATTTTGAAAACTAGAAGCAATAATAAGAGTTTAATGGTATTTCATACACAAGAGCTTCATCAACCTCTTCAATACCCTCATCATATCCTTTATGTTTAGTCGGTCAAAGGCACTAACTTTGATTATTGTTTTACTGTATCTGATCGTAGCACACCTACCTGTCACACTGCCTTCAGTACAGTTATGAGACCTGTCACAATATAAAACAGCATCTTTACACATTGCAAAACATGATAGCTAGACAATAAAAGCAGGATTTCAATTCACTGATAACCTCCGACGACCCACTGACTCAATCACCGTCTCAAGTTGACAAGTTTATTGTTTTTCCTCAGATACATTTAAATGTACAACATGAGGTATCAGAGTATAATAATATACATGTGATGACAAAATGGATGGCAAGTACACAAAACAGTAATCATGATACATATTACAGCAGTTTGTTATTTTTTTCCAACAAAAGACAAATTCCATTTAATACTGTCGTGTTACAAAATGACAACAGACCACTCATTTTAATTTGAGACGGATTTTTTTCTATAATACAGAGGAATATATTTTTCTCTAAGCTCTACAATTGTTTTTACATAGAGTGCATTTTCCGTCTTGTTTTTTGGATATTATGCCACCTACCCGTTTCAATGTGAATTTTCATATCAGAACATCTAAATTTGCATAATATTGATCCGGTTTTTTTCAGAAAGGCGAGTCAAATAAGGCTCAAGTACGTGTTTCTTCTTAAAATTACCATAGAGTTCACCTCGTGATGAATTTTGAATGTTTGCATGCCATCTTTGTAAAAATTGATCAATAAAAATTTGTTTGACAGTGTTTTTAATATAAAATTTACTTATAGGTTCCTGTTTGATAAAAATAGAACTTTGTCCGACTTCATCAAAACACATTTTTATATATTCTAACCATTTAAACTTACACAAATGATTGGCTTGAAGTTTGAACATTAACCTATACATATGGCAACTAAGTTTAGAGGTATTCGTTTAGAGTGAGACACGATGATAAAATCCACCGACTCATTGACTCAATCAAGAACTCAATGACTCAATCAAGAACTCACTGACTCAATCAAGAACTCACTGACACATTTATCATCTCAACAACTCACTGACTCATAAATGGACTCACTGACACACTGATCACCTCGCCTAAAGTTCACGCAATATATTCACTGATTCACTGAATTACTGACTAAAACGACCCCTAAACCTCACTCACGTTTTCCCGTAATTCCCGAGGACGGTACGGTTTTGCAGTTTGACCAATGAATCTTAGTGCGTTTGATAAGTGGATTTTCCCCTAAAAAAGGTGAATAACGAAATGTATATGTGTATGTTGTATACAGAGATAATGTCTGAATGAAGAATAGTATCAGACTTACTTGCGGAGATTCTTTTTCCGGACAAAGTGTATAATGAAAGCCAGTATAACGACAAGTACAATCACAGCAAGTATCACCTGTATGACGATCAACAGGTAATCTGGAAGGTCATCCTGTGTTTTTGCTAATGGTACTATACCTGAAAGAAATATCAAATAGGAAATAAAACGAATAACTGAAAGAAGTAAATTAGGAAAAAAACGAATAACTGACAGAAGTAAAAAAGGAAATAAAGTTAGCCTTAAAGAATGGACTGATATTTTAAGGCACACGAAAAAGTCAATAAACATATACACGTGACCCTAAAGTATGCACATATAGTAGAAATACGCGCAATCAAATGATCATGAAATCAGATTAAAAAATGAGGCTACACAACAAATTAATCCAGTCTTACGTTCAGTACAGTACACTCCAGTATATCCGGTGGTGCAAGCACAGTCTCCAGTCTCTGAATCACACGTCTGGTTAGTGGAACAATTACACTCATTTCCACAATCGAATCCAAAAAACCCTGGAGGACATTCTAGATAAAACAGGGCATCATTTCAATTACAATGATAGGCGCAGAAACACAAAAAATAACAGTACATTTATTGATAAGGTAATGCTACTTGTCCATTGGCATGCGCGTTAAGTTCTTTTACACATTCGTTACTAATAAGTATAATGTCGTCTATTCAAAGACAATATGGAAATAAGCAATGTTAAAATATTCGATGGCAGATAGCGAAGGTGTTACATGTAGGTTTCTGAAAATATTTAAATAAAAACGGAATTTGAAATAAAATGAATGCATATATTAGTACATGAATCTATAGTTGGCAACACACATAAATGACCTCTCCTCCTTACGAAAACAGAGACATAGAAACTGAGAACACAACAAAACATAAACAAAAGACATTATGAACCCCAGTGATAAACAAAACTAGGTGTTCTTCCGGAAGAGTACATATTGCGCGTGTTAATTTGAGATAACACGGTTTTGTGTGATGTGTCATTGTTTGCTTACTGCAGTATTCTGTCTTCTCTGCATCAGTTGACTTTATAATATACTATATTTACATTTGCTCTGCATCCTTCCATTGTAATGCATTGCGAAGGCAAATGTTGTTATGAGACTATAACAACATTGCTATTTTAACGTCATAAATCTCTATTGTGACGTCATCAATTTCAATTGCTGTCAACACTTGATTTGCGGTTCAAAAACTGTTCGAAATAACTAAATAAAGCATGATTACTCTATCAAATGTAAATATAAATAATAAATATTTTAGCAAATATTGTTATGGCCCTATAACGGGCTTTATTAAATTTGTCATCAATAGCTATGTGTGTTATATGACCATAACAATATTTGCCGAAACAAACAATGTTCCTATTTATGATGTAAGGAAATACTACTTCGGTTCATTTGAGTTTATTTTTTTGTGTTGAAATTTAATATATAATTAAATTTATTAAAATGAGTTTTAAAAAATTTAATATATCCATACCCCAGAGATATTTTTATAATCAATGTGAAACGTTATGGATGTAGATGATTGTAGTTTAACGCTAAATAAATCTGCTGCACCCATTGCAATATTTGGGATATTTCTGTTTCTTTCTACTTCTTACTATCTTTTATTTTCTAACGCCTTGTTTGGCAACATTTCACGTTTTGCTTTAATATTGAATGTTCGTCTAGGTGATGAAGGCAATGGATTCCTTCCCCAGGCCGGGACATACCAAAGTCCTTAAAATTCACTGCTTAACGTTCAGCGTTTTGGTAATGGCAACAACTGGTTCACCCGTTTTCAGTATAATGTGACCCGGCGGAATGCTGTGCTTGATGCCTTCGGCATGGTATTCAGTGAGATAGCACTATAAAGTCGGCATCAGATCCGCGCTATCACAAGGAGGCAAGTACATAAACATCCCCTGTCTCCGGCACACATACACACATGCACACATACACAACACAATTAACCTTAAATGTTAATAGGACGTTAAAAAAATAAAACCAAACCAAACATTAACGCAAAATAAAAATTCGAATGGCAGTACAGTGTGATAAAACATCACTTGACTTTACTACTTAAAATAATTCAGGATATCAACTCTTTATATTTAGCGACATCTAAAATCTTTATCAATGCAGGTTGACAAGGACTTCGAGTCCTTTTCCTTATGCGATGTGACGGTCGAGGTTTCTTATAACGCTTATCAAGTTCTGATTTGGCATTACTTCTACTTAACCTTAATTTACATAACTGATGGCATCGATGATTCACAAGACGTTGCAACCCCCATACACACACTTACATTGCAACACCCCACCCCCCATACACACACTTACATTGCAACCCCCCCATACACACACTTACATCCCCCCCCCCATACACACACTTACATTGCAACCCCCCTCCCACCAAACATACACACACACACACACACACACACTAACATGTATCTATATATAATGATAACAATCATGTTTTACAAGGGTACCTGTTTGACATGCTACACCAATCCAGCCTCGTTTGCACCAACACGCGCCGGACACTCCGTCACATGATATTGTGTTGTTCCACTGACAAATACACAATTCTTTACAGTTTACCCCGTACGTTCTCTGCTGACATACTGCAAACAAAATGCATACATGTCTTTATTTCCATTTTGTGAGCATTGGGGAGAAGTCTAAAATAAATACATGCTCTTTATCTTTAGGTATAATTCTCACACAATGATAATGGCAATTTATACTTGGTACACGGATGGCCTCGAAATATTCAGTTTACACTGTATAGTTATCTTAAAGTACAACGATGCACTTCAAAGAAGCTAGCATAACTTAACTAAACAGGACACATGAGCTGATACTTGAACCATGATTTGGTTGCAGATGACGAAGTAAATGACTCTGGTTACGGAGAAAGATGGTGACTGAAGGTATACATATATTGCATTGACCAGACAACCTGTGCAGGTTCGGGGAAAGAATATGTCTGCTGAACCCCACTGCATGATCGTAAGAGGCGACTAATGACGGTCTCTGCAGTATTGGCGGGGTTTTTGTCCTTGTCTTCTACGAATGGGGATATGGGAGAACAGAACTGATCTGCTGACCCCATAACATCACTGAAAAAATTGTAATCAGAGTAAGTTTTCTCCCCGCAATTGCTAAATCCAATGCAAAAAAGTTCCCTGTTAATTCCTTGTTATTTCCTGTCAGTACCCCCGTTCAAATTTGTTGTTTATCACAATCACTTACCTTCCCGAACTCAACTCTCGGTACGTCATTAACTTCGATTTTATTATTATTTTCAGCAACGCATCTACTGTCTAATGGGATGATGTGATTTTGTGATAATAAATTTCATTCATCAACATAGGTCATGTCTCTTATCTCCTTATATAAAGCTGTTATGATAAGTTACTCCGGAGCCAGAACAGGAAAAGTCACTTACAAATCATTCACATTTACAACTTCACAAAACCAGATTTCCGGACCATGTTAGTCAGACTGACTTAAATACATGTAATTATAATATACGAATAAACACTTCAACACAGCGATCTGTGTTGTTACATGGTTATCAATGATTGATGCATCATTTGATGGTTATCAATGGTTGATATGAATTGTTATATCAGTTTTCGTTAAACAAAATAACAAATATAGTATGAATAAGCTAATGAATTGTAATATTTTTCAACTAGTTTATCATTTTATTCATTTTTTTATGGATCTGCCGTTTTTGCAAAACGTCTTGTTATAAGGTATTCTCATTTCTTTTATTACTATAGAGTTTTGTGTTACTCTTGTTGGAGTTTTTCGCACAATGTGATGGTATTTTGGTTTTCAGATTGTTCCTATGTAACAAAAAAACGTAAATAGTCTGTACAAGTAAACATCGATCGCACATCAAGATCTTTATAACCAAGAAACAATAGGAAAATATCAAAGTTTTAACAAAATTGCAATTCAAACTCGAAATCTACAAAACTACGGCAAAATATGAACCAGGGAAATATGGAGAGATAAACGTCCTCTGCTTCACCGACGACAACCACCATGTAAATCCATGTAAAATCTAAGTGCATACCGGGATATATATACAATTAACACTTCCAGACCTGTATGATCGGGTTAACACACCATTAGAACATACAGATATACATAACCGTGTATTAAAATTCACACAATTAGAACATCCTGACCATTGTGACTGTGTGTAACATACCATTAGAACATACAGATATACATAACCGTGTATTAAAATTCACACAGTTAATACATCCTGACCATTGTGACTGTGTGTAACATACCATTAGAACATACAGATATACATAACCGTGTATTAAAATTCACACAGTTAATACATCCTGACCATTGTGACTGTGTGTAACATACCATTTTACACATGGAAACCCTAAAATAAGGTTTAACATACAGATGACACAACCAGACAATATTTAACCGGGTTTACAGGCACACATTGTTAATACATCCAGGACCTATATAACCTGATTTAAGGTATAATCAGACCCTGTAGTTAGGAAGAACATTGGTCAAACATCTTAACCCGGTTTAACCAGGTTTACATATCGCTGACACATCAAAACCCTATATAACCGAGTGTACATACAATAAACACAGTCAGGCCATATATAACCGGGTAAACATGTACATACCATTGACACATCCAGGCCCTGTATAACCGGGTTTGCAGGCACATGTACCTGTATAAGGGTCACAGACCTGAGTCGGTAAACACGTACATGCTTCTGAGCAGTTGTCTCCAAATTTGTCAGACGGACATACTACAATATAAATATACAACCATTATTAAAAAGCGCATACCGTGATGTACCATACAACTGTTGTCGTCTTCCGTTATGTGGGTTAGGTGGTAGGATTCAAATAACGAAGGTGATGTCAAAGGGCGGCACATAAAAAACGACGTTTTCATTTCCTAGTATAAGAAAGATGTATATACGGTCCTTTCGAAATTTCCAAGCATGATCATCACGTTTCTTTGTAATTCGGCAACAAAATTACTAAACCTTTTTAACAGAATGTACAAATGTATGAACAAATATTAATTTTATCACGATGGACTGTATCTCGTTAGCGCTATGCTGTTTCTCTCATATATTGTACGATGGTTTTGTTTTTAAACAAGGGGACAGTAAGGTCTAAGTATACCTTGCCATGTAGAATTTAAGAATACAAATACAATTTGTTTTCATCTTTTGTTTAGCCTATTGAACAACATCAATAACGTGACAGGTTATAATAAGTAGACTAAATGTCAGTTCTACGGCAGTCAATGAATTCGGATGAAGCCTTATGTCGCTAGTCGACAGCTAATAATCATGGATCTAGCCTATGGCCTCTCTACGACAGTTAATTACATTGACTCAGCATATGGCCGCTCTACGACAGTTAATTATCATGGACCCAGCCTAGGCTACTCTACGACAGCTACTTTTTATGGTCCTAGCTTATTGCCGTCTACGATAGCTTATTATCATGGACAAAGCCTAAGGCCGCTCTACGACAGCTACTTTTTATGGTCCTAGCTTATTGCCGTCTATGAAAGCTAATTATCATGGACCAAGCCTATTGCCGCTCTACGACAGTTAATTATCATTGACCTAGCCTAAGACCGCTCTACGACAGTTAATTATCATTGAACCAGTCTAAGACCGCTCTTCAATGGCTAAGTATCATTGACCTAGCCTAAGACCGCTCTACGACTGTTAATTATCATTGAACCAGTCTAAGACCGCTCTACGACGGTTAAATACCATTGACCCAGCCTAAGACCGTTCTACGACAGTTAAGTATCATTGACCCAGCCTAAGACCGCTCTACGACAGTTAATTATCATTGACCCAGCCTAAAACCGCTCTACGACAGTTGATTATCATTGGCTCACTCTAATACCGCTCTACGACGGCTAAATATCAATGAACCAGCCTAAGACCGCTCTACGACAGTTAATTATCATTGGCCCAGTCTAAGACCGCTCTACAACAGTTAATTATCATTGGCCCAGTCTAAGACCGCTGTACGACGGCTATGTATCAGGGTTTCAGTTACAGCTTCGTTAGACAGCTGATGATCATGAGTCGAACCTATATGTATGTCAGCCCCACGACAACGTATTACCATAGACCCAGCCAATGTCAGCTACACAATAACCCTAATCTCAGCTTTAATATAACAGTAATACGACCTTTATCTTTACACTTAACCCAACTATAACTTCCGTTAATCACAGCTGCAACACTTGTGTGAAATACTCGTACCAAGTAAATCTGCGCCATAAATATGATGCCCACCTTTGATATCATATTTACGTATTCATAGCAAACAGTACATGTAAGGCCGTCAGCAATGTAATTTAGAAATAGATATGATTATAGAAAGCATGAAAATGCCACTATTTTATTTATGTTTTAACATTATAACCTCAGGACATATTTGGTCTACAAAACCAAATAAAAAATGACGTTATCCTTTGCCTATGGTCACTTCTATATGGAAATGACATAGTTTATGATTCACTACGGTTTAAGTGCTGATATATATATGTTTTAGGCCTGAAGGTGGAAGATTACAGATAATCCCTCCCCATGAACTTTAACCAGATAACATTGTTGAAATAGCTTATCCAAATACGGGTTGCCAACACATTATCGTACATCCGTTATATTTTTCTTAACATAATCAGCAAGCAAACTTGAAATAAAGTAAAGAAGCAACGTATACCTATAGTTGTGAATGAACGAAGTCTTTCGTCTTGGATAAATTAAAGGACTGATTTAAGATAAAAGAAACTGCTATGTTATTATTTATCAGGGATACATTTTATGTTTTAAAGACTGCACGTAACGGTGGGTATGCTGGGTATTCAAGCCCCAGGAACGTCTTCTCAACGCAGTCTTATATCATGATATAACGTTATATAACACAAAGGTCATAAGTCCAACGATTGTAAAAATATTGAAAAATTCTTTGCAAAAGAGCTCTTTCTGAATTTTGTTTTAGTTTAGGATGTACATTGATCATGAGTTAAAAAAGTGATTGATGTTGCAGTGATCTCCTACAAAACGATAAAAACAGTTTTTTACTTGTTCACGTGGACTCTCCGTTTGTGCATTGTGTTTACCTCTGATACAAACGTCTTGAATGGTATCCAGAATATAGCCATGACAACACACTGCAGTGCTAGAAGTCTTGTAAACTTCCTTATATCTCAGCTGACTGCAGAAACTTGATCTACAATGAGACAGGAAATATTAAAAATAACATTCGACGACTGTTAATCGTTTAGTCAGGACTGCAGGATGGCTTAAAACATCTTAATAATTCCATAGTTTGATTAATGTTATTACACAACTGATTCATAATTATTAAACACAGAAGTGTAAAGAGGAACAATTGCATAAAACAACATCATTCAGCATTTCGAATATAATTATATCCATACAAAATACAACTATTTTTTCTGCAATACCATGTTGTTAATAAATCAACTTTGGACAATTCTCTTTTGATAAATAGGTTTCAAGCTACATTCCCCCCAAGGGGATTTTTCGCATGTATGCTTACCACCAGTATAAATAAATCACAAAGAAATATATCTATATGGTGTATGCATAATAATAGAAGCCAGAAGAGGCAGTGGGGTGTAAATATTGGGTTCTTTTTTCAAAAACATAAATGTGGTACCCTTGATGACTCATATGAAGATTTTATACGGTTGAAATATAATAATGGCGATGGTGAGATATTTGTTATATGTATGTGTGTCTTCCTCTAAATATACCTCTTGAATTCTTGACGCATAGACTTTTTTTTAGTAATTTGACAAAAAAATACATGTACCGAAGTATGGATCATATTTATACCATGGGAGACTTAACGCGAGACTCGATGACCTTACCGATTATGTAGAGGGTGTCGCTGGTATGGTTATATATTAGCTGTTAGATTTTCAATTTGAGAGAAACTTTGGTACTGCTTTTCCCAAGCTTGATCCAGAGAAAAGTCTGTAGTTGATTACTTACATATACCTCATGGAGACCTACCAATCTCAATGACTTTAATGTTAAACAATGGTTAGTGCAAAAATGTCATTACGCCATATCGGCCGTATTCATGATCACTCCTTAGTATAATTCAATATCCAGTATTGTAATGGAGAATACCAAACCGGCGTCACAAAAATCAGGTGTAACGGACCTCAACGATATAATACTTAAGTTATTCCAGAAACATTTTTTAT